TTATTGTTATCTATATACTTAAAACATCTTTTTCATCTAAAAGTTTATTTATTTAGTCTGTAAGTGAAAAAGAGAGACAGAGACAGAGAAGGAGAGAGAAAGAGGCAGTACCCTACCAGGACCTTGACGGTTTACCCTGGCCTCAGCCAGTGCCAGACCGTGTACACCCGGTGTACTCAGGGAGGCCTCTGGGCACAAACCTGGACCCTTCCTGAGTTGGTCAGTCTTTGCTGCTGTGTTTTACCACCGTGTTACTTCCCAGTCCCTGTCTGAAGTGATTTTTAGAAGGAAATTGGGAAAAAGCTGGTGTTTCTGTGATGGAGATATTTAAATAAGCCATTTTGAAATGTTAAAAAATGAAAATTGTAGAAAGTCGAACCATAGGTGCCGTGTTTTGCCTGAAGTGGTAAAAACACCATCTGCCTCAGTCTTTTAGCAGCATGCTTATTTCAAGTAGCAGTGGGCTAAACTGCAGGCATACGCGCGACTCCAGCTGGGGAAAATACACAGACGTTTGTAGATGTTTTTCTGAGCAAGGGTAGTCAACATATTCATTTTCTCTGAGACAGTATATTAGTTACCATAGCAAACCAAGCGTGACTGTGGTCCGAGAGGCTGCTCCACCAGTCCCAGCACGTACCCAAGAATCCCTACACTTCAATAGGTGGCACTCTTCCTTCTAGCACGGAACAGAATCCGCTTGGGTGAACCTGGGGCCTGAGGAACACGGAAGCATCTGAGACACACACCCAGGGCTGCAGACCAATCCCTGCAATTAAGATCCCCACAGCACCATGCACAAGAGGAAGTTGCTGGCACCAGCATTTGGTCACAATCCACTTCCGGTAATTACACTCCAATGAATACAACTTCTCCTGCAGGTTTAACTAGGAAAGTGAGATGGTGCTTGTTTTTCCCTTAGAGGCTGCTAAGGTAGAACTGTCCAAATCAGTGAAGCAGCTTTCAGCCTGGCCACCCCCCAGATGGCTGAGGTTCAGCCATGGGGAGGAGTGTGGATAAGGTGACGCTGGTGTTCATGCTAACTACCTTATGAGGTAGGGAGAAACTTAAGGAATTAACACTCACCAAGTGCTTTGACATCTTAGGATGAAAAGCACCACGTAGAGTGAAGCGTTTGTACCCAGGCTCCATCGCAACAGGAACTCAATTAAAAAGTAATTTCGCTTTCTTATCTGAGCGTCAAGTACAGACCACGGTTTTGCTGAATGTGACAGACATTCTGGAGACCCAGCTGAGACTGGTTTTGAAATGATCACCTCCTCCATGCTCTCTCCCCTACTTCTTTGCCAACTGGGACTGACAAGATTTGAGCGATGGCATATAAAGACACAGGACATGACCAGAATAAATTTCTGTTTTCTTGAACTCTGATTTTTCAGACAAAATTTGGCTTTTGAGTAAATACCTATTGCTTGGAAATAAAGAAAATTTCAGCAACAAATAGATTTCACAACAGTCTGCTGAAATGGCTGCCGAATTTTTCAAACATCGTGTTGCAGATGACCCTACGGGGAACCTGATGTCTGCGTCCGTCGGCATGAGCGTCACAGACAGTGAGACCTGAGGAGACCTCCATGGTGATGCCTCACTGAGAGCCCACGACACACTGCACAAGAGACAGCACTAAACGACACCTGCTGACAGCTCCCTGTTACACGGGAGTTGTGCCTCTAAATGTCAGAATAGGTCTGCATGTCCCAAGGGGGTGGGTTTCCGGTTACTGGCATGAGAAAGATTACCATGGGGTACTTGGGGAGGCAAAGTTAGTCACCATGGGATGGACTGTATTATGCGGTCAATATACTCTTTTTAAAATAATGATTTGATTAATTTTACTATTATTATTATTTTAAATGTTATCAGAGAGAGACAGAAAGAGAGAGGGAGGGACCAGCAGATGGTGTAATGGTTACATTGCTGGGCTTCCACATGGCCAACTATGATTTGAGTCCCAGACCCAGTGGTGTGAAACTCATGCCAGATGTGTGTGTGTGCATACCCAAGATCCTAAGAGGAGAATGGAGGAGAAGGGATTATGGTGTGGCCATCCTCCCTGGGGTGATACCTTGTTTTCTGTCTCTCTGTCTATGCAGTGAGCACACACACCATATAGCAAAAATCTCTCTCTTAAAAAAGAAAGAAAGAAAGAAAGAAAGAAAGAAAGAAAGAAAGAAAGAAGGAAAGAAAGAAAAGAAAGAGACAAAGAGAAAGCAAAAGTGAGAAAGTAAGCCACCTAGTCCGGGACTTGAACTACAATTGGCCATGTGGGAGTTCAGTGCCCTAACCACCATTCCACTTGTCAACCTATGGTCAATATACTCTTAAAATGGCTAATCTGAGCATTGCCCTTATTGCAACCTCCTGCACTTCTCCTAACATAGCGCTTGTGCACCCCTCATGCACACACACTTGTCTAGCACTCCTACGTGTCGGCCCGTGCCAGGGAAAGGTGATCCCACCAAGAAAAAGGCCAGGAGGCCCTTGCCTTTAGAGCTCTGGCATTCTAGTGGAAGGAACAAGAAGCATGCAATGAAATAAAAATGGTAATTTTGGATCATGAAAAATGTTAAGGGGGCTGGCAGGTGGTGTGGTGGTTAAAGGTGCTGGACTCCCCCATGGCTGATCATGATCCAAGAACTGGACCTGGCAGCTTGCTTTTTCATTTTCCCTCTCTATCTCAGTCTGTCTCTCTCTGGTCAAATTAAATAATAATAATAATAATAATAATTATTGGGGACCAGCAGTTGGTGTAATGGCTATGTCGCTGGACTCCCATGTAGTCGATCGTGGTTTGAGTCCTGGACCCGGTGGCTTAA